TAGCCTATCTACCATAAGAATATGAGCGAAATCGAATTTTCGACCCTTGCCGCGAAATTAAGAATTTGTCTGATTTTTACAGGCAGGCACTCTTAAGAACGAATCCACCACAAGTTCGAGAAAAAAGCGGACAAAAACGTTGTACTGAGAATATTTACATTGTATTGAAAACTTCTGTGCAACTGTTTTAAATATCTTCTCAAACGAAATCATTTCTAACAACACCAAATGTCGAAAACAAATTTTGAAGTTATATGAAACACTTGAAAATGCTGGTGAAATGAAAAATTGATGATAAAACTGTACCTGTGATTGCAGATTTTCTCTGAACTTTGAAATTTATTTTCTTGAGTTCTCATGGGAAAATGTTTTTGGTGTTATTTCAGGCAATTATTTATATCTTTAGCTTTAAGAAAGTGCAAAAAGGACTGTACATTATCTGTTCCGAGGAGCGAACAGTTTTCCGAGAGCGAGGCTCGAGGAAAACTGTGAGCTATCTTGTTCTAGGGTGAGAGAGGGAAAGAGTGCAGCCTGTTAAATCCTCTTACTATCCTTATATGAGATTTTCGCTCCTGGAGCCAATCACGAATTAGATTTGCATGGATTAATTTGAGCACGTGTTTTCTACATTGTTTGTTTTTATTTTTTTCAGATACGCTAAAGATAACAAAGGTTTTGAGGAAAAGGAAGAAGGTATGCAAAACATGATGTACCTTTTTTTTTGTCAAAATTGCTACTAAAGATTAAGTTCAACGGCATTAGAAAGATAGAATTGTGATGTATCGAAGCATGAACCACACCGAATGAAACCGGAGACTGAACAAGGCCAAGGAGAAGAATTCCTATCCCCCTCCAGGGCAAAAAGCACTTACAGTTGCCTGAATTAACTGTTTACATTTTAATTAAGAATAATAACCTGACTGAAATTTTCACTCGACATGTTTTTTTTTATTAATAGAATCCTCTGACAGAGAAGAAGAATCAAGACGACATCATGACACGTAAGAATAGCACATAGAATCTTGAATGAATCATGAAACTTTTGTAACAAATGGATCTTCTGGATCGGACGGGTGCAGTAGAACCCCACCTTACGGTCACTTACGGCCAGTCTTTTTGTCCCGACGAAACGCCCATATCCCGTATATACGGCCAACGGCAACATTCTGAAATCCCAACCTGTATAATCTTTTACAATTTTACGGCCAACGTCTACATTCTGAAATTCCAACCTGTATAATCCTTTATAAGTTTACCCCGTTAATACTGCCACTCGAACCAGTTATGTTCATCTTTCCATTGTTAATATTGTAGGTGCTGATTGAAGTTTCAACCTTTTTAAAATGATCCCAGCATTTCTAATGCTTATTAAAGAACAGTTGTTTAGAATTCCAATTGTGATGTAATATACTTAACACGGAAGACATTGTTTGACCACATTTCCAAACACCGAGAAGAGAGTTGAAAATACGACGCGCTGCGGAGTATTTTTGACGAACTTCGAGGTGTGTGCAAATGTGGTCAAGCAGTATCTTGAGTCTTTGATGTATCTTCGCAATCGAAACTAATTAAAACTAAGGAGAAAACGGAGAAATAAAATCCTTAAAATCTATGCTAATTAAGATCAGATATCCAAACACCGTCACGGTCATGATTTCCTTTGTTTTAACTTGATGAAGTATTAACGAGTTTAAGAAATATCTGTCAAGACGTCACTTAAAATAGAATGGTCATGAAATTTGACCTCACCCAGAATTTTCATGGCCCGTTGGTGACCATATTAACGGTGTTCCACTGTAACTAAATATACATATTTTTCTATCAATAGAAACATGTTTACTTGTTTTTTATCTCTCCAATGTATTATAGGTTCGTTATGGACAACAGAGGTTTTGAACTTGATGATAATGGTGAGTGAAATGATTGCAGTCTGGGGATCTCGTGCCCTTATTTTGTCAAATTAATCACAATTTTACAATAAGCTTAACAGCAGTTAAGCTTGTTGTAAGTTCTATCAGTTTGGAGATGCGTTACCTGAACTTCAGATATTGATTTATGCCAAACCCAGGCCAGTTACTGATCTCTTAAACATAAAAGACTCTTCGTGGTTTTTTGGATAATTTTTGGTAAAGATCGATAGCCAAAGCCTATGTTTCCAACAGATTGCGAGTGACCACTGAGCTAGATTGGCATCAACGGTCAGAAACTCTTAATTTGGTATTATAATCGATCTTATGCCATGCCATGGAAAATACAGCCAATCAGAAATATCTGTTAACACGTCACTTAAAATAGAATGGTCATGAAATTTGACCCTACCCGGAATTTTCATGGCCCGTTGGTGACCATATTAACGGGGTTCCACTGCATGCTAATTAAGATCATATATCCAATCACCGTCACGTTCTTGATTTCCCTTGTTAAATTTGCTGAATCATTAATGAGTTCGACAAAATTCATTTACCGTGTATTTGTGGAAACGAATTATATATTTCCGTTTAGATAGGGAGCACAATGAAGAGTATCTGATGAAAAAGCTACTATCCAAGAAGAACTCCTTTGACGCTATTGAGAAGAAAATCACTCCAAAGACTCTTACAAAGTGTGTCTCAAATTCCTTGTTGATGGGGATGAAGGTAAGTAACAGCTCCGACACGAAGACGGTTGTCCCACTGTTATAGCAAAAGATTTTCTTTGAAATGCCATGGTCACAATAACGTTAACTCGGGCTGTAATTTTTCACACCATAGCAATATCATAACGAAAATCTTAAAACTCATCAAATCGTGCTCTCAACGCTTTTCTCGAGATAAAATCTTTTGTATAAATCGATTAATTAATATACGTTCGTTCTTGAGTTTTTGTGGAGGAGAAAACCTTACCAGGGAAGAGTCAAAAATTGTTCACTTTTTATCTTGCCTTCTTTCAAGCTTGATTTAAGATTTCTGACGCTCAAATAAAGTTGATGTATGTGTGTTCTGTTAAATGACTTTTAGGTAAATTACCGTCTTCGTAGCTTGGCAAAATGTAAAGGATCCGAGGGAGAGATGTTCAATAAGCTTGCTAACTCTGTGGAGGACTTTACTACTCGCCTGCTAGATCCAATGCAATCTGATCAGTTACAGCGAGAGGGCTTCGGTTATTTTATTCTTGATGATATCTTGGACGAAGCCATTGACTTGAAACAGAAAAAGGTAATGTCAAAAGTGAAATGAACTTATTTTATCAGATAATCGCGTGAACTACGATAATTTTTTATACCAGGCTGTAATAAAAGTCGTCATGAATTTTGATACCTAGGAGAGCAGAGATTTGGGGAAAAAGATGAAACGAAATTTGCAACATGTGCAACACATCATAATAAATAATAATGATAATAATGATAAATTATACTGATAAATTGCAATATTTAGAGAGGAAACCACATAAGCCCTAGCTGGTTTTCATGCTGATGGAATTGGAATTTGGAAATGTTGGTTTTTCAAGAGGGAGGAAAACCGGAGAACCCGGAGAATAACCCTCGGAGCAAGGTGAGAGCCAACAACAAATTCAACCCACATATGACACCGGGCCGGAATCGACCCCGGGTCACATTGGTGGGAGACGTACGAGCGCATTTAAAGACAAAAATCGTAGAAAGTAAAACGATAAGAGAGAAAATGTTGGTGACAACGGATGCTTTACAAGTGAATGCTTTTAAAAAAATTACTTTGTGTTATTTTGTCTACTATTTTTGACACTTTCTTCTTTCAGTTTTTTACTCATCCAGTTGTTCATTCGGAGATGACTCGTAAATGGCGTGGTCGCTTCTTAATGAAGAAAGACCTTGGAAAGTGGACATGGTTCTTTTTACACATTTGGTGTCTGTTTGACATGGTTTTCGCACCAATCACATTTTACATTGTGTCATATTTAGAAGTGTATTCTCTTTTTGCAGGTAAATAGTTTTCGTACAAACCTCAAGTTTACTTTTACATTAGATCTATGTATGTACTCCTACTTGGAAAAATTAAAGGTGACTCTGGCCCAACTTTTACTTTGGCTTTGTAAAAAGTTTTATTTTAACATGTTGATCAAAACGCAATAATGAAAAATGTGGGTCACTATGCTGGTTTTTAAACTATAAACACTTAAAACTAAAATTAAAGATGTCATTACCAGGTTCTGTTCCGTCCTGGAGATAACCCCTTTTTCTCGCTATTGAATGGGTATTTAATTAATGCCATCTGTGTGGAATCATCTGATTGGTGCAATTTATTCCTCAAAGTGCAAGTGCGCGAAATCCCTTGAAAGCGTTGCCGGCCACCTTAAGTTATTGCCGCTTTTTCTTTCATTTGGGGTATTTGTCTGTGAACTCAACAATGCTTTAATTTATGAATGCGTTCCGATTAAATTGTTATCCAGAGGTAGTTAACAGAATTTGTTATATTTCTGGCAGCTTATTACCTGAAATACTTGAAAACACCTTACTTCATATTTGTACGGGACGCATTGAGCTACTTGGCTCTTGTTGTTCTACACTACGCTTTCTGCCTGACGCCATCAAGGCTAGCGTTCAGCGGATTAGAGTGGAGCATACTTATATTCTTCATGGGTCGTTCTCTTGTGGAATATCGACAGATACGACTTACCGTTAACCGCATTAAAGAAAGAAGGAAGAGTGGAAAGGACGAAACTAATTCAAATGTTCTGCGGAAAGCACTATGCAGCTACATCAGGTAAGTATATTTGTAAAAACATGGTAAGAACATCAGTGATGACACGCTCAGCTATCGCCTCGCGTGTCACTTTTGTCTTCTTACCACACTTTGACGTCATTTGTGATCTTTTACTGAACTGACACACGGCAACACATAAACCGACAACTATTTGCAGTATCGACAACTAAATGTTATCGACAAGTTTATCGACAACTAACACTCCAATGTGTGGAATGTTAGCATCGGACACAATTAGTTGTCGATAACATTTATTTGTCGATAACATTTAGCTGTCGATGACAAATACTTGTTGACAACTAAATGTCTAGTCTGTAGAGGCCCTTAAATTGATAGATATTTTTTTCTTCACTTTAGCGACCGCTGGAACAGGTTGGACGTATTCAGTGTTCTAACTTACTTGGTAATATTCGTGCTGAGACTTACGACCTGGATCACATCTGAATCGGTCAAAACCAACCGAGCTGTGCTTGTCGCCGGTTACCTGTACAGTTTCAACACCTTATGCCTTACTCTGAGAATTAGTCACGTGATAGAAACGTTCAAAGGCCTTGGAACAATCCAGATTGCTCTGTTTAACGTTCTACAGGATGTTTTTACGATAGTTTGGCAGTTTATAGCAGCTGTGTTGGCATTTTCCGTTGCCATAACTAAAATATATATGGCAGAAAAATCCTTCCATGCAAGTGCAAGTAATCAACAAAACCTGTAAGTGTACCAAATTTGTCTTTGTTACTCTTGTCTTGCTAAATGTTATTCTTTAATAATTTTGTTATACACTTCCTTCAGTTTTTATTCTGCTAGCTTTACGTTCCATCTCAAGTCCAAAATATGGCATAATCAGCTTTTTAACCGCTTAATAATATAAAGCATTTTCTTGTGGATTAATAGAAAATAGTTTATGCAGAGGCTGAAATTTCCTTTTTAAAATGTACACTGCCATGGTAAACGCATAGAAATTTCTCTGATGTAGAACATTTTTGCCTTTAAATTCCTTTGGAGCAACTTTATTGGTTTTTTAACAACGGCTTCATGGTTTAACAAGTTTGCAAGTAGCCTCAGATAAAATTACAATTGTATTACACTTTTTAGTGCAGGTTTGCAATATGTTGGGACCCTTTACAGCAGCATCTTCATCTCTGATACTTATCAACATTTACGTGTTTTGGTTTCAGTGCCTGTAAGACATCTGGAGTATTATGGTAAGTGTAAGGCAATGTTTGTTTCCTGACTATAACACATTACAGTTGCTTGATTCTTATTCAGTTTACTTACCGCTTAAAATCAACCCATTTAATCGGGAAAGTAAAGATAACAATTGAAGAATCATGCAGTCTGAACAAAGTTAATAGAGGGGAATGATTTTCAAATCCGACAAAGTTCTTTGTTGTACGTTTTTGTTCGTTTTTTTTACCTTGACCGTGCACAGAAAACAATAGTTGTTTGTTTATACTTCTAACTGAGGAACTAACCAATAGAAACGTTTTGGTTACGTAATTTATGCATAGTGAATGCGTGCAAAACAAAAGATTGGGCATGGTCGTGGACCTTCTAACATAAATCCCGGCATCTTTGTTTGCTCATTTAATGTTTGCCGGGCTTGATAACAATTCACTCTCTATTAACTATGGTCTGAATTGATTCCTAGGTGTCACTATTGATGATATCATTTCTTCTTGATGTTTGTTTCAGTTGGTGGGAGATTCTCACACATCTCAGCTGGTCTCTTCTGGAGATAGAACAAGAATTCAATCCTTTAAACTCTGTTGATACTCCTTCAGAAACTATTGCTAAGCTGTTCTACGCTGTCTTTCTCTTCATTGCAGTCATTCTTCTTGTAAACATGTTGATAGCCTTGTTATCCCACACTTATCAGCGAGTAAAAGTAAGTGATGCCGAAAACATAACCTGCGAAAACAGCCGTCGTTCCTCACTCCCCGCTCCGAGTGCGGTGGGGAGCGAAGTAGAACGAATGTTTTCGCGGGCCGGGCTAATAAAAGCACGATTTATAATTTAAGGTTCGACGTAGTTTCCCTTAAATTCATCAGTATTTTACGTAATATCTCTGTAGAGTAACTCTAACCCCATTATTCTATGGGTGAAACACGCTCCAACACCCGTTGGCTCTACTTCATCTTTCCCAGAAAGAAATATCCATCCAGATTGGGCATTATTACCTCAAGCTCGAAAGCTCAAGACTGATTTTTGAGAGATTTGTTGACCTGTCATCTTTAGACTTAATGATTGGTTTATATATTTCTTCTCTTTAAGGACAACTCGCTGAAGGAGTGGTCGTACAAAAAAGCTGTTACTATTCAGACGTATGAATCCTACAATCCAATCCATGCACCTCTTAATATAGTATCAGAGTTTTTCTTGTTGCACTGGTGGAGTGAGAAGAAGAAAAGAAGAGAAAGAAGAGGAAGAAGAGCAAGCCACCAACCCCATGCCGCGAGGGTCAAACTGGTAACAATAGCTTCTTTGTACCATTAGTTAGCTTGCAAAATATTATGTGTGCGTAACTTTAGATGCAGACTATAATACTAACACAGACTTCTGTCTTATAGAGGCGCTGCCCTAGAATAGCCTGCACTGCAGGCGTATTTTGGGCGCGTGAGTGCACATTTTCGCATTAGGCCGCCATCTTGGATTTGGTAACTGTGGAGGATTGCTGGCATCCAGGTACAATTCAAGATGGCGGCGTCGAAAACCTGGTTTATGTAGCGTTCCGCTCCAAAATAATATCTACACTGCATGCTATCCTGGAATGGCGTGCATAACTAGTGAATGGCGTTGCTGAGGTTTACAATATAGGGTTTTTCCACTGCTTTAACTGTCTCGATCGATTGGTCAAAGAAAAAAACGCCATAGGGATCACTTTATTCAACTATACCATTATTTCTTCTCATTCATTTACATGTATACCTATTTAATTATTTGTTCATGATTTATCTGTGTAGTTCGCTACAAGTCTAAATTTGCCTTGATAATTTTTTTCAGTCGAAGACACTTTTTCAACATCTTGAGGCAAAATACTTTGCAAAGCACGGGAATTTGTTCCCAGTGACAGGTAAAAAGTAAATGGTTAACTGCTTATCTTAGTTGATTAAAATCCACAGCTTCGCAGTTCACTGGATAGTTTTTAATTCCTCTTTAAAGTTTTCGTTTTTTGTCCGCAACAGTTGGCTATAAACAAGACGAATATGAAAGAGAACTTTTGCAGACCTGTAGCACATAGAAGACAAGTCATACATAAATTCAAACAAGCGAAAATTTACGAGCGGAATAAAGCAAAAAAAAAAAAACCAAAACAAAAATGAAACAAAATGGCTCCAACAATGATCGTTATGCCTTTGGATAAGGTACCGATTATTCCACCACAACCTTTTTTCTTGTTGTACAGCTCCTCACAAAGGATATGACAATGGACTATATTACCATTTTCTCTTCACTTTGAACTTGAACTTTAATTTTATTGTTTTGCATACAGTTACAATTGTTCCCCCCCCCCCCCACCCACCGCACAACTAGTTCCAGAACTAGTCGAGGCGGAGGCTAGAGCTTATATTAAAAAGGAAAGAAAGAAAAAAAAAGTAATTATAATTTACAACAAAATTACAAAAGGTACAAATAAACAATAGCAAAATCTACAGGTAACCGAAAACAAAGTAACAGTGTAATGTACATGTGTATAAGCGACTAGAATACTATTATTAATAAACTATGTTAATTTAAAAAAACCTCTGTATCAGTCGTGAGACTTCAATATAGTTATTGTAGCACATCAAGGAGTAGTTCCTTTACATTATTTGTCCATATAACTTTCATATTTTATGTAATATAAATGGACAACAATTTCTCTTCCATTTATTGGCAGATGAAAAGAAACTGGACGAAGTATATCAGGAAACAGAGAAAAACAGACAAATGCTCAGTCAGATTCTTCTCAGAACAGTCAACAATCAGAGCTTCGATATTACTTCACGGAGAATTAACCCACAGGTTAAATAAGTATATCTATCGTCGGTCTTTTCCGACTAAAATTCTTCGTAAAGTTTGATAACTAGATGTAGCTCCATAGGCTTTAATTTGACAGGGGTTTAGGTATCTACAGTTAAAACCGGACGCGCTACATCGCTTGGACGCAAAACACCTCTAAAGGTATAAGGTAACCTTAAAGAGGGTCTGTGACTTCCCACCGAAGGTTAGGTCAGAATACTTCAAAATATTTGCTGCTTTAACATGTAAAGGCAATGACCTTTCTCAAATGATAGAACTAGAAAACCTACATGTATACACATGCTGAGATTGCTCCTGCCTTCTTATCCAAAGTCGACCTTGAAGGGTGGCTTAACGAGAAATTGTTGCGATTATTTTTTTTAATCATCAAAATCGTTTCATCCTAGGCATGGGACATTGTAACAGGTATCAATGTACACGGCAATGTTTTGACTTGTGAAGGAGTTGAAGATTACAAAACTGAGGCTGATCCAGATAAATGGGTGTTTGGTGCAAGATATACTCATCGTTTGTGCCCGGAATTTCCTCATTTTGAGGTAAAAAAAAATTGCCTACGAGCTTTGAAGTTAGTGTATTGAACGTATGAGTCGTAGAGATAGTCAAATTTACGTTATTTATGACAGAGGTTTCAAAAAGATGTGTACACTATTTTACGCACGGGCTGATAGGGTATCAGAAAACGAACCAAAACTGGTACAAAGCATAAGTTTTTCAGTCTCGGCACTGACCTTAGTATGAAAATCTAGCCATTTTAGCCCTTTACATTGTGTGTTACATTATTATTGTAGGTTTTGATCTTAGAAGCAGGAATAATGAGACGGCTAGGAATCGGAGTAGTGATGGAATCTTATAGCAAGTCTTTAATGCCTGGCTGGCGGGATGGAACTGTAGGATATCATATTGATCATGGAAAAGTCTTCGATGGGAGTCCCACGGGCAAAGAAACAAAAGGTACTTTTACTTTTTTAAGTATAACAATTGATATAGCTGCTAAGCGCCCATCAACCTCGTTTTCCTTTGCTAACTTTTGAAAGTCTCAACGAAGTCTCAAAAGAAAGGTAATTAAGAGTGCATAATCGGAATAGGAGAACTAAATTATTTTCTGTAACTCTCTTCCGCCTGCTAAATGTTTGGTGCATTCTCGCTTAATAGCGCTAGGTTCTACATGTGTATATCTTTAAAATTATGCTGAATTGTGCATGTAATGAACGGATCCTGAGTACTTCTTTACAGTAAAAATTTTAAACTCAAAAGGTTATTTAGAATTAAAGATCTCCAAGCGTAACTCTTTCAACACAATACTCAAGAGTCACTGGGACACTATGTTTAATTTTTTTTCCCTTATGCTCGAATAAAGAAGTTTTCAAAACTGCTTTTGTATAGTTTGTTTATTTCTTTGTTTTATTATGAGCTAGTCTTTTCCGCTTTATTAAGATAAACGGATAATATGATCTTAATTTCAGTCTTTTTATGCGAATTAATACAGAAGCATTCGTAACAAACCTATACCCCCATACAGGGTATGTGACTGAGGCGCGGTGGCCTCATGGTTAGTGCGCTCGAGCGGTCCGGGTTCGAGCCCTGGCGGGAGACATTGTGTTTTTCTCTTGGGAAAGACACTTAACTCTTACAGTGACTCTCTCCACCCGGGTGTATAAATGGGTACCGATGAATTAAATACTGGAGGTAACTCTGCGATGGACTAGCATCGCATCCAGGGCGGGGGGAGGGGGTGACGGTTTGGGTAGAAATAGTCACTTCATGCTACAGAAACGGAGATAGGCGCCTACCTGATGGGCCACTTGGCTCATATGCAGCCTTGACCTTTTACCTTTACCTATGTAGGGTATGCTATGGCTTTCCGGGGAGATTTGATTCGTTGCACAGTGGTGTTTAAACATGCAAAGAAAATCAGCAATACAAAGGTACGAGTTCCAGTGGTGTTCACACTGAACGACAAGAGGATAACTCCCGAAGGACAAGGAGGTGAACTTTTTACCTATTACAACCCTAATGGTCAAGGACTCTTCCCATACATTGGCATGATGGATAAAGGATGCTCCGTGTTGGCTAAGGTAACATTCACTTGCCATTTATTTCTGTAGTTACAACATGGCGCTTAAGATGTTGTGTTTTCGTTTCCTCAGTATGAAATAATGCTTGCTTTATTGTGAGATCAACCTCAGTAGCTTATCCAATATTAATATTTATTCAATGTTATCAATTTTGTTTTTATTTTTGCCTCATTTTCTGTCTGTTTAAGATGTTTCAAAATGCCGCTACACGCACCATGGTCTCTTTCAAGTACGGGGCTCACTCAAAGCTTAAATTACTTTCAGTTCCTCAGCAAACTTTTGCCTTGTTCGACGTCCCTTCTTGTGAAGGTCTTTATCGATAAAACACGAAAAGTTTAGCCAGGCAATGAAAGATCTTAATGCACTTCTTTACGTTTACCTGTTATGCCATAATCTGGACCCGCGGAATTTCCAGTTCTGTTACATCTTTCTCGGTAAATCAATGGCTTTTACCATATCAAGCACGAGAGATAATGTTTCACCCTATTTCAAACACCAATAATTAGGAGTGGTGAATACGAAGCGCAGCGGAATAAATGTTTTTGGTGACTTCGACGTGTTTGGAAATATGATGTAAGACTGTCTTGAGTGTTTGAGATATCTCCTCAACTGAGACTATTAATAGAATTATTATTGCTTTTGGCAAGCCTAGTGAACTTTATTTTAACACTCGCCGACATGTTTACTGGTTTTGCATCTCTGTATTAGTAAGGGAACAACCGGGCTGACAGTATTCTTTTATTTTTTCTTAGATGAGTGGGCAGCAAGAGGAAAAAGGTTATCAAAATTTGGACACTAGCTTAAAGAACATCTACCAAGAACACCAAAATCTGAAAACTACTCTTGCAGATGTTTGCCAAGAAGTTAAACAAATGAAGGAATGCCTAGAGGAAAATAACAAGACACTTAAAGCTCTGTTGGCCAGGTTGAATGGTACCGAAGATACTCCATTGTGAACTTAAGTCCCCTAGAATGCTACAGTGATTACGACTCCTCGTGACAGGACCAAGTTAAAAACTAGTCAAATTATTAATCAGAACTTTTTTTTATCAGGAGAATATGTTTAGTGTGCATATATTACAACACTATTCTCGATGATTCGTCGTAGGGTTACATTGTGAACCTTAGTCGCGTATAATGCTATAAAGATTGCGTTTCCTAGTGTCAGGACCAAGTTTAATTAGTCAAATTACTAATCGGAACTTTTCTATCAGGAGAATGTGTTTACTGTGCATATATTACAACACTATTGTCACCGACTCCTCGTGGGCAAAATGTCAATCAAAGGAAGTTTAATGCTGGAAAAACAAATTGGCGCGGCTGTTATATGAAGGATCATTTTTTAATTGAGTTTTATTTTGAAATGTTCGGTTTTAGGCATTTTGCTTGCAATGACATTTTCAATACAATTATGATTAAGATATTTACACTACAGGAGATTTTAAGGTAACATTTTTCCCAGTTTATCTTTTGCAATGAAATTTTCAGATTAAATGAAATAGATTTATTACTTCAGCTCAAACATTTGACCTCTCGATCTGGTATTTGGTAGAAAGTTTTCGGTCACTTGATTTGCAACTGAAAATGCTGAATGAACCATGTCACTCTTTGGTTTGTTTTTAACGTGGAAAATATTATTTTCCAAGTTGCGGTGGTGTAACGATTTCACTCCATCACTCCTTCACTTTTTCACATTTTCGCACGAACGTTTATGTGAGATTATGCGATTATTGCATAATCCCATATAGTCGTCGATTATATTTTGAGGAAGTTTGAGGAAGTGATGAGACCTGAGAATCTCTCCCCCAATGAGAGTAGGCAATTTCGGCACTGATCAAATGGCCATAGAATTAACTAAACTATCACAAAAACGGCTCAAANATTCACACTTTCTTATAGGTACAAAAACGTCGTGCCTGATTGGTTCTTACGAAAAATCGACTCCGATTGGTTCTTACGAAAAATCGACTCCGATTGGTTAAAAACGAAAAAGAAGGCGAAGAAAAGACTTAGTCTGAATCTGAAAAGTACTGGGTATATTCCGTGTTCTTCCATTCCTGACCGTACTCATTATCACAGTCTTCCTCATAGGTATCCATGGCATAATATTTACAATTTCTCCAATCACAACCCACTTTACCGGGTCTCCACTTCAGGGCTTCCTCCTCGTTCCCCTTCACATAGAATGCTTGGCGCATACTCTCTTTACACTCACCACACAGGTCATCCTGATCCGCTTCAAGGGCACGGAAGAAAAACCGATCCTTCCAAAGATCACGCTGACGCATGACATCGTAGATCAACTCTTCCAACTTCAGACACGTTTCCCTGTAATCGCACCTGTTGATCGTCAGTATCTCCTCCACCTTGGGACTCTCGTCTGACTCCCTTACCCGTCGTGATAGGTCGCGAGCGAACCGCAAGGGTTCAAACAGATCACGGATGACATCGCTCATCATGTACGTGAGGTGATCCGTGGCGATCAAACAGGANGCATAATATTTACAATTTCTCCAATCACATTTACCGGGTCTCCACTTCAGGGCTTCCTCCTCGTTCCCCTTCACATAGAATGCTTGACGCATACTCTCTTTACACTCACCACACAGGTCATCCTCCGCGGCCTCGATGGCACGGAAGAAAAACCGATCCTTCCACAGATCACGCTGACGCATGATATCGTAGATCAACTCTTCCAACTTCAGACATGTTTCCTTGTAAGTGCACCTATTGAACGTCAGTGTTTCCTTCACCATGGGACTCTCGTCGTTCTCCAACACCCGTCGTGACAGGTCACAAGCGAACCGCAAGGGTTCAAACAGATCACGGATGGCATCGGCCATCAGGTACGAGAGGTGATCCGTGGCGATTAAACAAGCACGCTCGGTGTCCAGGGTGGGATCCCGACAATGAACGAATTTGAATTGTCCGCTACCACTTCGGTACATCACGCGACACCACTCACCGCAGAACAAAAACACGTGTTTGTTCTTCTTCATCATCTCCAAAATCGTACCACCCCAGTCAGGACGACGTCTCATCAAGAGCTCGAAAGACCACAGACTATCGGGTATTTGACCTGACGGTTCGAAGAGATTGTCAAAAATGTACATGTCCACTCTGACATCCGGAATGGCGTCGAGATCTCTTAAAGTGTGTACCTTCAGATCCACGATCTGTTCCACGAGGTCCCGAATCTGGTTCGAGTTGCTATAGTAAGTCATCTTGACACCCTCAGACAAACTCGTTAAACTTCTTTCCTTCTCGATCCGCTCGCTTCGTGATATCCAAGCCCGACAAATGAGGATAGCAACCACGCACACCCCAGTCTATCAAGTGCCTCTGGAGCCTATAGTACAAAGGAGAGACAAGACATAACTCCAAGTCAATTATCCTCGCGTGTAACGGTCTTTCGCCTTCTTTTTCGACTCTATCCAAAACGTCGGAAGCTCGATTCAACTGTTGTCTCATCCAAAATCCTACAGGTCATCACCGCGTCAACAGCAAGTCGAGAATGATTCGCTGCGTCCCACGGGCTCCTTTTATACCCGCGCCGTGGATCCACTTTCACTCCGTACTTTTCCCGGATCACGTGCCCACTTCAGATCCCGCCAATCGGAACGAAGACCGTCACATGATCCCATCACACCACACGTCACTGATTGGTTAAAAACGCCCATAAAGTCGAACCACGCATTCCATCACGAGTCACTTTTCAGCAGAAGTCGTCATGGATTCACACGTCGAACCCGTCAGGAAGAAGAAAAAATCGCCCAAAAAGAAACTGAAACTGCTCTTGCCCCAGAGAGTAGAAAGAGAAGTAGAAGGTAAACAACTACAAACCATGCGACGTGAAAACACCTTGTTGGGATACTAACTCGTTCTCTATCTTCTCAGACTCACCTCCTCGAACCGTGCAACTCCTGGAAGCAGCCCCTGAAGTGGATGCCCGAGGAGAATCCACCGAAGTCCAAGTGTGGGAGGAATTCGACCCCGATCAGTTCCTAGCCCAACTGAAACCCCAAGATCCCACTTGCCCGCGTTGTATGGTACCCCTGACATACGGAAGCGTGAAAACCCCAGACGGTGGTACCTGGGAATATTACCGATGCCCCTCTTCCAGATTCTACACCAAGTGTTATGTGACCTGTGGCGTCAAAGAGGTGGACGCTTACCTGAAACGCGTCGAAGAACAGACCCACCCCTGCTACAGGAACATCGACCCCGCTCGTTTCCGATGTCTATGCAGCAAATCCCTGGTCTTAGCCACCTCCCACTCCCAGTCCAACCCAGACAGGCTCTATCTCAAATGTCCCAAGCGTACCTGCAAGTTCTTTCAATGGATCGACGAATACCCACGAGGAGTCGCCGAAGCCATACTGATTAACGGACAGGACCCATACTAAGAAAAAACACACTCTGATTTTTTTATTTCACAACTATTTACACGTTGGGTAATCTATCGTTCGCGTCGATCATCGATCGCATTGTTACTTGGTCACATTGATTAAAAGTACGGTAATAAAAATTGATAACGTTCACATAGCGTTTCGCTGTTCTCTTCTGTCTCCGAGTCCAGTAGGTCTGGAAAGGCTCGAACCCGTAACACAGCATCAGTCTGTGAAACGTGATCCGGTCCACGGGCGGCTTCACCTTCACGTCCCATACAAGGTTCTTGTATATAGTACGGATCACGTTAAACAACGTTTTCGCGAAACACTTCTCTATTCTCCGATACATGCTATGACTCCGCGTCCAGTTCTCCCTTTGCACGTCCATGAAAAAGAAGATTTGGTGGAGCATCACCTCGAGCTGACTAGAGTCTTGGATGTGTATCATCCATCGTCGACCCGCCAACACATCCCGGATAGGAAAGTTCCTCTCCTCGTAAAATCGGGTCCAGGGTGCGTCTATCTGGTCGATGGCTTCCTCATACGTAATATTAGGCTTTCTAGGTACATGGTTTTGTAGTCCAATCTCTCTCAAGGCCATGACTGCGCTCAATACAAGTTCAAAAAACTCAGAGTGGCGAACCGACGACGCGGATTCCTTTTTATGAAGATCCGTCCAGCCAATCACAGATCGAGACCAAGTCACGTGTTACCCAGACCCAGGGGATAGGGGGTATCCCCCTACCACCCCCTACTCACGGTAGGAGACTGGACACCATTTATACCATGTTTGGTAAGGGGTTACCCCCTCACGGTAAGAGACTGGACACCATTATACCGCGTGTATAAAAATGAGTGAGTGGGTCCGTTCGAGTCACTCTGAGTTATTCAACTTGTATCGAGCGCTCAAAAGAAGAAGAAGAAGAAGAAACCATGGAACAGGAGCTGACCGACGAGGAGATGAACCAACTGATGGATCAATATGAATCAGTGAGTATAACATGCACCCTATGTAAGAAAGTAATCTTTAGAACTCTAACCCTAATCTTTTTCATAGAATTACTGGGATTGGTTACCTCCCGAGGTGCAAACTTACATTCTCCATTTACGAGAGGCCCAGGCTCTCGTCGAGACACGCGAACGTTTAATCAGGCGAGAGCTTTGTAACGAGATACGCACCTTCGCCAAGATCAAAGCATCATGGGACCATGGCCCAATCAAAGTGGTTCAACGGATATGCCCACGAAATGGAAATAGGGAAATGCGCATGTACGGAACCTACGTAGACCAATACGACAGCTGTATAAGAACCGTATTGTTAGGGTTGTTTAGGCCAGGAATGGTACCCATAGAAAAGACTTTCATCTAACCCCGTCGCTTATCGCTCCGCTAAGTATGCTCATAATAGGTAGTTAAGAAATCGTTCCCACTCTATTGCAGAGTTACTGGGATTGGCTACCGGAAGAACTGAAGTGCTACGTACTTGACTTAGCAACTTGGCAAAGCATACGCGATAGAAGGAACAATAAACTATTGAACAAACTTCACAGAAGTATCTTGGATTACGCCGAACTGAAAAGACAATGGGGCCACGGTCACATACAAATCAAAAGACAGAAATATACACGTAGATTTAATTACGGAGGCAGATCTCATTTTCCAGCTTTCTATGGTTATTATGTCAACAAGCGTAACGAGAAAAAGAGACTCTATCTAGGAAGTAGTTTCAGGAAGGCATTAGATGTTGTCGTCTACTTATTGGATTACTGATAATAAAAAACTGACTAATTAAAAAAAAAAAACGTTGTGTTTGTTGTCTTTACAGACCAGACGGACCCACGACGAAGCCTTCCCCTTCGACGATGACGACTGGATCTTTGATCCGGCTCACGACCGAGCGACGCTCCAAACCGGAGGTGGTAGCAATACAAGCCCCCTCCTAGACTTCGACTTAAGACCCGTAGGCGCTCGACGTCGCTGGCGAAACGTCCTCAACAAACAACGGTACGAAGCCACGCTCAGACAACACAGAGACGTGACTCGCGATGACAATCTAGGCCAAGAATTGACTCAGGC